GCCCTCCCAGCGGATTTCAAAGCGTCCATATCGCGATATAAAAGCGGGGCAAACCCCCCGTCAAACCGGACACTGTATGAGGAAACAACCCCGCCTGTTTGCAAACAGCAGTTCTTCTGAACTTTTCTCATCTGTTTCCGTGCTTTCGGCACGGTTATTCAAGCCACAGAGTGGCTCAACATGCTCTGCCCCCTGGGCGGTGTCACATTATGCAAATTGCCAAAGATTTGGGAGGGGAAAAAAACGTGTGTGAAACGGTTGTAGTGTACACACGCTCTGCCCCCTGGGCGGTGTCACATTATGCAAATTACCAAAGATTTGGGAGGGAAAAAAACGTGTGTGAAACGGTTGTAATAAACACAAGCGCGTCCCGGACGGGCGGTGCTTTCTATGCGAAGAAACGTACCCACTGCTTCATTCGGTACACTACAGTATCTGATGAAATCCAACCCAGTGCTTTCTATGCGAAGAAACGTACCCACTGCTTCATTTGCAGTGTACCGAATGAAGCAGTGACTACAGTATCTGATGAAATCCAACCCAGAGCTGCCATGAACAACTAACTGTGATTTCAATAGATCAGCCACAATCAGACAGACGCATTTAGTAATAACATCACAGCATGTTAATGTACTTAATGCTCAATGCATGTATAATGGGTCCAGCCTTCAACAACAGAGGCTTGGAGCACCCCAAAAATAACAACATACAATGATTTTTTTTTTTCCAGTGCAAGGCTCTCGTGCATAAAAATTTGAACCATTCCAGGACTGCATTAAGTGCAGGAATTCATTCTGTGCATTTTTCCCAAAATAATCAAAATTTGAAGCATGTCATTCCAAATCCCCAAATAATTTCTTTTTCACCATCCATTATCTACCATTTATCAAGGGTCAGGTCGTGGGGGGGGGGAGACCTAGTCTCTCAAGCGTGTCCTGGGTCATCTCCGGGGCATCCTGCTGGTGGGACATACCCAGAACACCTAACCAGGGAGGCGTTCAGGAGGCATCCAAATCAGATGCCCAAGCCACCTCATCTGGCTCCTCTCAACATGGAGAAGCAGCAGCTTGAATCTGAGGCCCTCCTGGATGATTGAGCTATTTGTACGAGAGAACCTGGACACCCTGTGGAGGAAATTTATTTCCGCCACTTGCATCCGGGATCTTGCTCTTTCATTGACAACCAACAGCTTGAGACAATCGGTGAGGGTGGGAGTCCTTAACGGATTTTACCATGCATTGTAATTTATAGTTTTGACATTTCAGGGAAAAAAAAAATCCACCTGTTGCTGAACCTAACTCTGAAATATCTTACTGTATTACGTATTATGGTTGTTATTATTATTATTATTAGTGTTATTATTGTTGTTGTTATTGTTATGACAACCTGATGTGCTAAATAAAAAACTAGGGCAGTCGAAATCAAAATAATATATAGGAAAGTTTGCTGTTGTCTCTGATTTAAAAAAAAAAAAAATCAAGATTTGTTGACCTGTGTGAAGTACAGATGTTTCATATGCTTAGAACAAGTTTGAGAACCACCGTTTGAGTAGAATGGAAACTGTATAGTTTCTAGCATTCTGTACAAATATATAAATAATAATAATAATTAGGAATAACAGCTCTGCCTATTTTTTATGAACACTTAGCCCTACCACACCACTGTTGTTCATGATGGTGGTACTGTACTTAGAAAGCATTTGGGGTAGATTTTGTGTAAAAGGTTTGAGAACTGCTGAACTGTGGTTTCAGACCCTCCACTTGAGCCAAGAATTTGTATGAAAGTATGCGTCAGCTTTTATTTTGTAAAATGACTGCACTACAACAGATGAGGCTTTTGGCAAGTACCTGTTCTATTTCTCTTCAAATCTCCATTCAGGCTCCTGCATTAATATGCACTCTGATATTTCATCGTCAAGCTAAGGAATTTGTGTTTATTCCAGAATATTTAGTTTTGTCTCCATTCTCCACACAGTGGCTATGTCAGCCAGGCTGAAGGTGGATTACGGAAGCACACATGATCACATTGCTGCCTTTCTTCTTCAGACAACTAGCTAGCCAGCCTTGACCCTTTGACTTTGAAAGTTCAAAGGCCGATCTCATCAAACTGCATAGCTCTCAAAGGGTGGGAAACGAATGAAAGCCTCTTGGGCAGCTTCTCAGTGTTTTAGACGAAAAGGATTTGATCCAGAATGTGTGGTACTAGGCCAGCTATGGCAGCGTCTGTGGGAAGATCACACAAAACATTCATATGGAACAGGACTGATTAAGGAAGAATAGCTTTACAATCATCTGTTTAAACTGAGTTACTTTTGAAATTCAAACAGAAAAAAGGGAGTCCAGTACTTTTATTGCGAAGCAAAGGGTTTCTGTTCTGACTCTGAGGGAGAGGTACATGGAATTTATCGCCAAGTATCGGTAAGAAAATGAAATGTTTTCAATTTCAACTAAAATGAGATTGCACTATGAAACTAATATTTAACTAATGTTTTAAACTCTGGTTGAACAGTTTCCGTTGCAAGTATTTGAGCATCTTAATAAGATTGTTTTATAAAATGAACAGAATATTTCTGTAAAGACCAGTAATTGTTTTTCACAACAGTTAGTAATTTACTGAGTATTCTTTTAATAATGAAAGCAATTACAGTGGCTGATGCGCTTTTTCTAGATTTGGAGACTCTTTTTGGCCAAATGTTTGGGCGCGTGTGTGTGCCTGTGCGTGTGTGTGCATACACATGAGGGGGGGGGGGGATTAGCTCATACATATGTTAATCTGACTATCGAATGATTTACTAGTCATGAACTTCACTGCACGTCTCTGCTGCTAGCCTTTATTTTATAAATCCTCAAGATCTAAATTAATCCATCCATCCATCTGTCCATCCATCCATTATTCAATCAGTATCAACAGCGGTTGATTTCTATGCAAGCCCTTTTTTAACATCGATGTTGTCATCTGCGGAGGTTCTAAAAAGTATCTTTCCTTTTTTGGAGAAAATAAGAACAAGAAAGTACAGATATTCCTTTTCAAATGGAATTTGTAAAAGTGAAATTAATATAATTATTCAGGTAATTACAATCATATACATACTCGGGCAAAGTTCAAAGAGGGTACCTGGAAAAATCAAATTAAGTAGCCTAGGGAATTATTTGTACTTAGTTACTTGCCACCATTGACAATCAGGGAATGAATCACTGCAGAGGGTGAAGAAAAATCCAGTAAGACTGGATTTCAGAGAGGCTGACAAGCGCTGAGACAAAAGAAACACAGGCTGATAGTCCCCGGGGACATATAGCCTAGTATTGTATTGCATAACATCTCCCAGTCTATTCTCAAGCTCTCGTGGCAGTGACAAACAGTGACACAATAAAGGCTCTATTCAGCACAATATCAAAGAGACAATTGTTAACAGTGAGAATAACTGTTTGGCGTTTGAAAGGTGCTTTGGGAATCAATGTATTTGTTGGAAGTAAGAGCAAAGACAACAGAAATTCCATTTGGTTGTGAAGCTTGTAAAATGATTGTAGCTGCACTGTCATGATGATGAAGCTGCTTAAAGTTGAAGAATAAAAGCCATTAACTAATGTGATGGCAAGAAAAATCAAAGACCATTACTTGCGGTTAAAAGTGATTATTAGGTTAAGGAAAACAAAATAGAAAAATATGGAAAAGGATTTTCTGAGTATTTTTACCGGGGGCTTTTCAGAACCGGTTAATTCCACAAGCTTGGCTCGGCCAAACACAGCAGTGCCCAGTTGGAACGAATAGCATTAATAGCACACAGAAAAATACAGAGGATTTAGTACAAAACATGCATATTCCCAGTGGAAGTATGGTAAGGTCCAGAAATATTGGGACATGTAAACACCACCACAATGGCTTTGAAATCAAATGAACAAAATACACAACAAAACAACACTTTCATTTTTAATTTGGGAGTATTTCCATCCAAACCAGGTGAATGGTAGAGGAATCATATATCTTATGCTTCCCACTCTCTAAGGGACCAAAAGTAATGGTACAAATGAATAATCATGAATCCAATGTTCACTTTTTAATACTAGGCTGCAAATCCTTTGTAGTCAAGTATAGCCTGAAGTCTGTAGACATCACCAGACACTATATTTAATGTCTGACGATGCTCCCCCAGGCCTCAACTGCAACTGTCCTCAGTTCCTGTATGTTCTTGGGGCTTTTTCCTGCAGTTTTGTCTTCAGCAAGTGAAATGCATGCTCAATCAGATTCAGGTCAGCATTTAGCCATTGCATAACATTCCATGTCTTGACCTAAAAAAAAAAAAAAATTTAAAAACTCATTCATGGTCATTATCCATCGGCACTGTGAAGCACCTTCTGATGCGTTCTGGTGCATTTGGCTGAATATGAGCAGATAATATTGGCCGAAAAACACTTCAGAATTTTCCCTGATGCTTGTGTCAGCAGTCACTTCATCAATAAATCAAGGGAACCAGTCCAACTGGCAGCCAAACATGTACATGACATGGTTCGACCATCAACATGCAACTGATGAAATGGTAGCCAGGCTCATAAATATTCTCATTGTTTTACGATTGCAAGACGGACTCTGTGGTGATGTTCTCTCTGACTTATTGTGATATTTAGCTGGCCAAAATATCGAAATATGGTAAACTGCTGCTGTGTTAGATGGTGGAGCAATGCCTCCCGTAATCGTGAAAAAAGTTTTTACAGGTTTCCTGCTTGGTCGAAGACTGAGAGAAGCCTCGTTTCAGAGATTTCAAAGTGATGTCAGATGGCTTGGTTGTCAGCTGTAAGACAAAAAACAAATTCATGTTTGACACAGTGGTGGATGCTGGTCTGTCAAGCGAGAGAAGCTCAATTTCGGCCTACATCATAAAATGTGTCAGTTTATTTATACGTGAATTCTACTCTCCGTTCCTTTTCAAGAAAATGATCTGTGACCCTGGCCTGTGGTGATATAAGTCAGTCTGCGAACACAAGCAACTACGATAAAACCCACCAGAAATAAAAGATTAATTTGTCGCTAGTCGTTTTCAACAAAGAGAGTGTCGCTAAGATGATTAGAAGAAGTCTCCAGTTCAACTCCGAACAGAATGAGAATTGAAAACTGCTCCCACGGATGGCGACACCAAAAGATCGGTGATTGGCTCATTTCGCTGTCAATCAAAAAGAGATTCAGCCTCAGACAGATCATCCAATCATCATGCAGAAAAGCTGAGCGTCCTGGCCAGCCCATAAACGCCCACTGTCCATAGACTCCCAGAGACGCTGAGCGTCCAATGGGCAGGACAAAACCAGCATTTATCCAATGACTCGTCTCGTTTCAATGCTTTGGGATAACCTATCGGTACTGAACTCTCGAGAGTAAACGCCCAGCGTCCGAGCTGTAGACGGCCGCTCAGCGTCCACACAGTTTAAAGCACAGTGAAGCTGCGGGAATGAATGAGAAGAGAGTCGTGTCGTATCCAGTAATAAGAAGCTGATTCAGAACAAAAGTTGAGCGTGTTGTAGCGCATATTTAGTCAATGACATGTACACACAATTGTACGTACACACCTATGTTTGATCACTTACTTTTTGACATTTTAGGGGAAGCTGAGCTTCCCTTGCAGTCTAAGAGCAATCGCCTCTGGCTTTGACAACCTTGAATACATTGATCTTTCTGCAGCGTTTTCACGGTGTGTGTATGTGTGTGCGCGCGCGCGCGCGCGCACACACACACACACACACACACACACACCGTGAAAACGCTGAAGAACAATCTATGTATTCGAATTAGGTGAGTACAGACATTGGCAACATAAAATATAAAATGGCCGGCGATGACTTCACTTTCTGCAATGTCTTTAAATTCCGTTACATAATATCTGGTCTTTACCGTGTATTCAGGTGGATGTAGGTTGAAAAGGATTTGAAAATCATTTTGTTTCCACGTCCTAACTTTATAGGAATGGGGGTTTGCAATTCCTGCA